ATGTATATGAAAATGTCATGATGGGACCCATTAGTCTGTATAATTCAAATGCACTAATAAGAATGGAAGAATAGAAGTGATTTTGAGTAGAACAAATGCAAGAGTAAGTTATTAAAAAAGACAACGGGGCTAAAGAACAAGATGTTACATGTATTCTAATGAATTCTTTGTAGGTGAGTTGATAGATTTTAGAATACTGGAACACTTTCAGTATACTGAGTAATTTTTGGTTGAAATGTCCACTTTACTCTTCTACCTTTTGAAATGGAAGTAATTTGTATTTTCTCGATTTAATGCAAAATATTATCTATTCTGAAGCCTTTGGTAAAATGCCAGTACTGTCTTCACTTCTGATGACGTTTCTTTTTAACAAATAAAGTCTGATTCCTTCCAAAGGATACTTAATGTTGGTAAATATGGTGTTCTATTTACTTTCCTTTGCATTATTTTTCCTCAATGTCTTGAAGTTTAATTGATCTTTTATTACATCTAAGACTTTATTTCTCGAGGGGAGGAGGGGGTGAAAGGAGGGCAGGGACAAGGGGAAAAAATGAGAACCAAGACCTGTCATGAAAAGGAACAAGATCCTAATAATGAATGTAACTGTACTGTATCCCTAAAATGTACCAATAAACTCAATGAGGGGAAAAAAAAGAGACTTTATTTCTCTTTAGTTTCTAGGGGAATAGAATGTGGATAATGAAATTTTTTTTTGCAAAAGGTGATAGACAACTACAGTGAATGTTTATATTAAAAATATATTTTACAGTAAAGACAGATTGCCATGAATCCCCATCAAAATATTCTCCCTCTTGCTTTGAACACACGTATCCCATTGTTCTTGCTACTTTCTGAAGCAATTCTTGAATTCCTCTTTTGTGAGTGTCTTTACCAGGTTGTGATAAAAAAGGTGGTGAATGCAGCTATTGAGTGCCATCCAGTGGAAAGAAAGGCAGGTTCAAAAAAATATTACAGTGTGCCTTCATCCAACTTATTCAACAGCTCTTGCACCACAGGACTTCTGGCTCCTCCCCAAAGTCAGTGACCATGAAAGGAAATATTTTGAGCCAATTTAGGATATAAAAGCACCCCAACAGTACAACTGAAGAGAAAAATACTTTCAGAACAGCTTCAGAAAGTGGCATATATGATGGGATAAGCCTGTTCAAAGTAAGGAGTATTTTGAAGGAGATTGATGACAATTTGCTTTTTACTATAATAAATTTTAAAAATTTAGACATTCACTACATTTTTATCATCATATATTTTTCCTTTTTTATGGAGATATAATTCATATATCTTATTTAAACACTTTAAAGAATTTAAGTTAATGGCTTATTATTATATATTCAGAGCCTTATATAGCCATCACCATTGCCTAATTTTAGAACATTTCATTATCCTGTTAAAAAACCAATACTCATTGGCCATTATTCCCCATGTTCTTTCACCACCAGCACTAGGCAGTCATTAATCTATGAATTTACCTATTCTGAATATTTCACATATAAGTGGAATTATATAATATATGGTCTGCTGTGTCTGACTTTCATTTAGAAGTGTTCAGTGTTACTCATGTTGTTACGTAAATCTATCAGTACTTCCTTTCTTTTTTTTTTTTTTTTTAACTGTACAAAGAGTTTTATTTTGAGCTTTTACAACAGAAAGACAGGTTTACAGGCAGGGGTATCCTCATTTTATTGAGGAAGGAGTGTAACGGAGTCTCATCTTCCCAAAAGTCACAGAGTTAACAAGCTGATGAGACCAAAACTTAAGTGAATTTCATCCAAACTTGGCCCTTTTCTATCTTCATTTCTTTCTTGAGAACACATTTAAATGACAAAAACAATGTATTACTTGTAAGAAATTTAAATATTTCCCAAAAGGATAATGCCTCTTCAGAAAACTGCCTCCCTCTGCCTTGACAAACCTTCCCATGTCATGTTAAATAGTCACATCATTTTAGTGTATATCTTCCCAGAGTTTTACTGTATATTTATGCATTATGCATGTAGTCCTAGAGAGCATAAAATATTTTTTTCAGCTTTAATTAAGTTTATTGGTACATTTTAGGAATACAGTACAGTTACATTCATTGTTGGGTTTTTTAGATGGGGAGGGGAGGAGGGGGTTAAGGGAGGGCAGGGGTAAGAGGAAGAAATGAGAATCAAGACTTCATTTCTTTTTAACATAGTCCATGATACAGGTGAAACACGTTTAGTCTACCCATTCATCTCTTCATGGATTTGGGTTGTTGAAATATTTTTAGGAGAATAGGACAATTTTGTTTTTTGCTTAAACCTTTGCATCTTAGAATGGTGCCCTTTGGGATGTGTGTCAGTATGCCAAGGCATACTTGAAACCACAGGATAAATAGCAAATCTTTCATTTGAATCGGGGACAATACACATACATATGTATATTTACACATAGTTATAATCACACAAATATGTTACAGTCAAGAAAGCAAAAATTTCAACACTATGCATTGTTGTAGAAATGATAAAATGGAAAAAATTGGAAATTGCCAATTTTTAATTGTTTTTATAGTATCACTTGAAGTTCTTTCTAAAATGAATTTGATAAAGTTATTTATCCAGAAAAAAGTATAAAGCCACTGTTTTTTGTTATGTACCTGTTCATGATTCACCTGCCTAGTAGTATTTCTGTTTACTGGCTTTTTGAAAGGATGTACTCTTTGTAATTCTTTTATTTTTAATTGAAGTATAAAATTGATATCAACTGTTATTTTAATATTTTCATAAGAATATTTGTCTTAATTTATAGTTAAATCAAGACTAGTATAATATTTTCAAGAATATTTGTCTTAATTTATAGTTAAATCAAGACTAGTTAATATGGGTAGTACTCATTTGTGGTTAGGTATCATATTGACCTAAAATATATTAAGTTTTCATTTCTGCTTGGTAGATAAATGTCAAAATCTTAAAGGCAGGAACTCTTTCTACATTTTATATATAGATGTTAGCACAACTTCATATCTATTTTTGTATATTTTACGAAATAAAAGTTGTCAAATAGATCTTGACCCTAAAGAGGGCTTTATTGAGAATAATTTTGTAATGTTTAGTTTTGGAAATTTAGACTTTTTTCTAAGGCATTCTCTGTTTAGTTTATCCACCTGTTAAACATCCCAAATTCTAAACTTTAATTAGAAATTAGGTATATTTTCTTTAAAGTTCTGTTAACATAAAAAATTAGATACTTGCAACTCCTTAAATTAATGATGTTTGTGAAACATTAAGTTTAGCATACACAGATAGTAGTAACCATATCCAGTATATGTCAAAATCTACAAATTCTTTAAGGTTTTTGGCTGGAAGTATGGGTTGAGTCTGAAACATTTACTTAGAATTCATTGGACCAATTTTTTTGAAGGATAGTTCAGATTTAAAATTTTACAACATTGTGCTTTTCTGGTATTGCAGTATAATGGTTGTCCTTAGAATCTGTGACATTAAATTGAATAAGTTTTTAAAAGATTTTAATATTCCAAAAAGTCTATGCTTTGGGATTTAAATAGTCTTAGATATTAAATAGTCTTAGACCTAACAAATAACAAATTTTATGCTGTCTGTCTGGTGAAGTTCCAGATAATCATATGTAAATGTAGTAACTAATAAAATTGGAAATACTGGTAACTAGAACATATCTTTTAATGTTATTTGGTTATTTCATTAATTTCATGCTTTTAATTTTTCTCTTTATAATTTTCTAAGCTAGTAAGATAAATTCTTAATGCTATTTAGTTCTGGTTACTAAATGCTTTAAAATTTAAGTGAGTTTTTAATGTGATAGGTTGCTTTTCTATCCTGAAACTGTTCTAATCCTATAAAAACAGCAATTAAACAAACTATCGTAGGCAAATTGAAAAAGAGACAGTCTGGAGTCAATCTTGAATTCAGTTTTAAACTTTAACTTGGGCAAACTTGTTTACATTTCATAGATCATAGTTTCTACACATAAATATAACATTCATTTTACATAGTTCTGAGGAGTAAATGAGATTTTACACACACACACACACACACACACACACACACTAGTTGCTTGGTGCATTGTTAGTGATTACAGTGAGTGTATAACAAACAAATGAAATTGTTTAGGAATTAAGTGAAATGTAATAAATGAATTGATAAGAGGACATTTTGGTTGTTGGTCTAAGTAATCTACCAGTCCATTGTGATGGGCTTATCAACTCTTGGTCTGAGTTCCTTAAAATCATTTTGTTAAATATAAACATATTAAATTTGTTTTAACTTATATATTATATATATGATTTATTTTGACCTGTAAGTTTCTACTAGAGACTTCAGTAGTATTTTATAGAAAGTGATCACTAGATGGAAAATATTTTGTACTCAATTATTTCATGTAAATAAATTATTTTAGCCAGTTGTACAAACCTGTTAATTTTCTTATTATACCACATCAGTGTGGAAAAACTTAGAATTTATTAAAAAGGTTTATGCTCTTATAGTATTTATAAGGCAGGTGGGAGTAGTATTTACCGTGTTGCTCAAAAAGAATTAAAGCCTTGTTTCTGTATCACATTTACTATTATTAAATTAAATCTTAGTCTAACATAAGTAGGATTTCTCCCCCTTAAATCAGGTGTCAAAAGATACCTCTTGTATTTGACTATAGTAGTATACTTATATGTTAAAGAAGTTCAAGGACTTTCATGTTTATAATTTATATTTTATAATTTAATATTTTATTAACTCATTTAAACATATTAGTATCTTCTATATGTCATTCTGTTTTCATTTTTGAAATAACTATAGACTCACAGAAAAAGTATTATTAACATAGCATGTCAGTTACCCTTTACTTAATCTTCCTTCAGTGGAGGCATCTTATGTAACTATAGAACAATGTCAAAACTAGAAAATTAGCATTGGTGCATTAATATTAACTAGAAGTACAGGCCACATTCAGTTTTCACCATTTTTACATATATTTATGTATGTAAATATATGTAGTAACTATGTAGTTTACCCACATATGTATTCATATATACACCATCACAGTGAAGATATATAACTGTTCCATCACCTTGTGTGTTCACACTCCCCCCAACTTTGACAACTACTAAACAGTTTTTAATCTCTATAGTTTTATTATCATAGGAATGATTTATAAAGATTCCATTTATATATTTTATAATATCACAATCTTTTATTTCTTTAGTTATGGTAATTTTCTGGCAATACATTCAGACTGTTGAATGTATCAAAATTTTTCCCTTTCCTTGCTGAGTAGTATTCCACTGTAAGGATGCACCAGAGTTGGATTAACCAACTATTCACCTGGTGAAGGACATTTGGGTCCCTCCAGTTTTTTGCTACTATGATTAATAACTATTCTGAGCTATTATGGATATTTATATACATTTTTTTGGCTTTTTGAGACAGGTTCTCACTGTGTAGTTCAGGCTGGCCTTGAACTTCACTATGTAGCTGGCCTAAAACTTGGTGGTGATCCTCCTGCCTCAGCCTCCCACGTGCTGGGATTACAGGCATGCACCATTACATACAGTTTTTGTATAATTGCATGTTTTAAATTTTCAGAGGGAAAATGCTATAGATTGCAATTGTTGGTTTGTATGGTAAGTGAATGTCTAGTTTTGTAATACCTGCCAAACTATATTCCAGAATATCTGTTAAAATTTTATATTCCGATCAACACGATATGATAGATCCATTTCCTACACATCCTCACAAACCTGTAATGTAACCATTTTCTTATATTTTAGCTGTTTCCATTGGGGTGTAGTGATGTCTTATTATGACTTTTAGATTTTACTTAAAGTTAAGTACATTATTTTTGAGAACTTAATTTAGATTTTCCTAACATTTTTTCACCCCTAATTCCTGAAGATGGCTTCATTTCATTTAAATTGTCAGCATTTTTTAATTAGATATTTGGCAAGAATTATTTAAAATGTAAAGAATATGTATTTTATAGTATTTGCTATATTCAATACAGTTCTTTTAATTAATAAAATAACTTTACCTTTTTGGATAATTGTTTGTATTATAGTGGCTGGAATGGCTGGTACTGCACATATCGATGGAGACCATATTGTTGTTTCTGTTCCTGAAGCAGTATTAGTTTCTGATGTTGTCACAGATGACGGGATAACTCTTGATCATGGCCTTGCAGCTGAAGTTGTTCATGGACCTGATATCATTACAGAAACTGACGTAGTAACAGAAGGTGTCATTGTTCCTGAAGCTGTGCTTGAAGCTGATGTTGCCATTGAAGAAGATTTAGAGGAAGATGATGCAGACCACATCTTGACCTCCAAACTAATTACAGAAACTGTTAGGGTACCTGAGCAAGTATTTGTGGCTGACCTTGTTACTGGTCCTGGTGGACACTTAGAACATGTGGTCCAAGATTGTGTTTCAGGAGTGGACTCTCCCACAATGGTATCAGAGGAGGTTCTTGTAACTAATTCAGATACAGAAACTGTGATTCAAACATCTGGGAATGTTCCTGGTTCTACAGTTACTATAAAAACTGAAGATGACGATGATGATGACGACGAGGATGATGAAGATGATGAAGATGATGGTGAGAAGAGCACTTCTGAAGACTACTTAATGATATCTTGTAAGTGAAAGTTAAAATTCCTAATTACTCTGGAGGTTGTCATATAATCAGAGGTGGAATATATAGCCAAGAAAAGTAACAGAGGGAATCCTCTTGAAAAATAATTTCAAATAAATTCAGAGCTTCGTTGTTGCGATGCTTTTTTTTTAGTTTACTTGTGTTTTAAATTTATTCAGTGAAATTTCATATCTAAAATAAAGTGGAATAGTTAATATATTCGAATAGAGATATAGATTTGGAAGACTTAATAAGAATATTAATTGGTAAGAAAAATATATATGTTTCAAAATAGAAAGTGACTTTTGTGGTAGAACTGCTTTCCTTTTAACGTGATAGGCAATTGTCATTGTTTTGCATAAGAATGCTAGTATATGTTAAATGTCATATTTTTTTTTAATACTTGAAAGTTAAATTGTAAAGTTAGATCATCTATAACTTTCCTTGGGTTTATGTGCTGTTAGACTAAGTGTGTGTGCATGTGTGTGTGTGTGTGTGTGTGTGTGTGTAGTCTGTGCAAAACCATTTAACACATTAATTTCAGACTTTTTGTGAAAGCCAAAAACACTTTTGAAGGAGGAAAATGGAAATATTTTGTTCTCATTTTAAGAGTGGGTACACCAGACCTTCAATAATACTCTTATGATTTGCTGTTGATATAACTTGAGAGATAAGTGAGTCTGTTCTTTATATATTTGGTAGAGCTCATGATATAAATAGTGAAGATTCGATGAAGACTGTTCACTTATCCAGGGAAGATTTTTGTTCTTTCATTTTTAAAAATACAGAAATGATTACAAAGGGAATTGCTAAGTACAGTATGTATGTGTATGTTTAAAGTTCTATGTGAATTAATGAATTTAAAATTAAAAATAAGTTAGATATATATAATTTTAAAATATTCTAAAATCTAGTATTTTAACATTTTCTTCTGTCAGTACTTTAGAAGGTACATGTTTACATTTTTAAGAGAATGAGTTAAGCCATAGAAGATTGTACAAAAGTCATTACCTATTCTTGAATAAATGTGGATTACTAAAACAACTCTCTTTTTACATTTAACCTGACATTTTAAAAACTATGCATACAGTATAAAATAATATGGTAAAAGTTGGTGGTCTCTCTTTATTAAAATAAATTCAATATGCCTTCCAATGTATATTCATTAAATTATATGGTGGTATTAAAGTCATCTAAAGTTTAAACAGTCTGTATTTTAAATAGTCAAACCTTGGCCGGGCGTGGTGGCGCACGCCCATAATCCCAGCACTTGTTAGGCTGAGGCCAGGAGGATCGCTGTTAGTTCGAGACCAGCCTGGGCTACATAGTTAGTTCCAGGTCAGTTTCAACTACATAGTGAGACCCTGTCTCAAAAAAAAAAAAAACAAATAGTCCAACCTTGCATTATCATTTATAGTTTAATTTTTGAAAACATTTCTGGAATATTTTAAGTTAGAATATTTATCTTTATAATTATTAATTTATGATTAAGTGTAAGAAGTTCTCTCTCATCTGAAAGAAGGAGACTGAGAAATAAAAAGAACCCTGTATTGCTCAAGTATTATTAGAACAATGAGGTAATCTTAGGGGGAATTTAGGCTAGGGATGAAACACACCTTAAATATTAGTAAGAGAAAAAAATAATTCCTTAAAATTTTATTAAATTCTTATTTTATATTGCAGAAAGTAATCTTATATAACTCATTATCCATTCATCTCTATAATTAATCATTTATAATTGTTATCTAAATTCGAAATATTTACTGTTCCAATTTTCTTTCATTTTCATCTCTTAATAATTTATTTTCATTACCTTTTAGTTTCTGTTGGCTATTGTTTCAGTATTTAGAGGATAAATTGCTTTGAGAGACTCCTTGTTAAATCAAGATGTTCTCTTTTCTGTTTTTTCTAAAATAGAGATTTTTCAAAATATCTGTTACATTTAAGGACACAAACGAAAACTTTGTCTTGTTTCTAAATCTCCAAATATTCCTATAAGGAAATTTTATCAGTAGCTGAATTCTAGAGGTAGGGAGTTTGTCTTAATATTTGAGATGCTTCTGAGTTTAATCCAAGTAAAGCCAAACTTGCCAAATTATTCACGTTAGCATGTGGCTATGCTCTGCTCTCTGTGTAAAACAACATGATAATATAATATAATCATATCTGTCTAATGCTATTCTAGATACACTTATCTTTAAAAATACTTAACACCCATAAGACAATTATGGATAATTATTTTCTTAGTGAAGAGCTTCACTGGAACGGGGAAGTTCTTTTGTAGTAGGCCATTATAATGTTTTAAAATGACTTTTTACTTATGAAAAAGAATTCATATTTCCTTCAGGTGCGTAACTTTATATAAAGCAAAATATCAAGGTATGGAGATCTCATTCGAATTTCATCAATTTCATGGGTAAAAGAAAAGAAGTTAACACCTTTGTGATTATCTTAATATAGCTATTTTATTGAGATATTATTTATATATCATACAATTCAGTTTATACATTTATAGTGTGTAATTTGTTGCTTTTTAGTATATCCTAGAGTTTTATACCAATTACTACAATCAGTTTTAAAACATTTTCTTTTAAAGTTAAACCTCATGCTATCCACCCCCAGGCAACCATTAATCCACTTTATAGATTTGCCTGTTCTACACATTTCATATAAATAGAATTGTATCATATGTGACCTTTTGTGTCTGACTTATTTCATTTAATGTTTTGTTTGGTTTGGTATCAGGGATCGAATCCAGGACCTTGCACTTGCGAGGCAGGCATGTTCTACACATTTCATATAAATAGAATTGTATCATATGTGACCTTTTGTGTCTGACTTATTTCATTTAATGTTTTGTTTGGTTTGGTATCAGGGATCGAATCCAGGACCTTGCACTTGCGAGGCAGGCATGTTCTACACATTTCATATAAATAGAATTGTATCATATGTGACCTTTTGTGTCTGACTTATTTCATTTAATGTTTTGTTTGGTTTGGTATCAGGGATCGAATCCAGGACCTTGCACTTGCGAGGCAGGCACGGTGTCACTGAGCTAAATCCCCAGCTCTTCTATTTAATGTTTTAAGGAGTCATCCATGTCATAGTATCAGTACTTCATTCCTTTTTTGTTATTAAGCAATACTTTGTTATATGGATATACCACATTTTAAAAAATTCATTCATCAGTTGATAGACATTTTGATTGTTTCCTCTTTTGGCTATTACATATAGTGCTTCTGTGAACATGTGTGTACTTGTTTTTGTGTGGGTATGTGTTTCAGTTCTTATACAACTGGGAGTACCTAAGAGTGACATACTGTTGAAATTTAAATGTGACTAATGTGTCTTTTTCTACATTGTGACACTCAAATCTTTTGCACATTGCTTAGTAACTATACCTATAGTACATAAGTATACTGTCTAGTTATGCTATACCTGACTTATCATCTTGGTAGGCACAACATAAGAGAATTTAAAAATACAGCTTAGCTTTAAAAAGGACTGCTATATTGTGCATTTTGCTAAAATGGAGTTTTAATCAAATAGTGTCATCGAGCTATAAAACAGTACAATGTTGAAAATTACTTTGTGATGTTGGCAAACAGTGTACTTTACTCCTTTATATTTAGTGCTAGTAGAAATCTGTGGTAGGTATTAAATTATCTGTTTGAGTGGAGTTGAGTAATCTACATGCCCCAGAGTAAAAGAAATGTTAAGCTTGAATTTTAGGTATTTTAAGTATTGCTTGCATTAAGAAGAGTGTGAGGATTTGAGTAAAAGAAATGTTAAGCTTGAATTTTAGGTATTTTAAGTATTACTTGCATTAAGAAGACTCAGGATATATGTATTTCTAAAGTCAGTTGACTACCTATTACATCTGTGTTATCTTTGTATTTTCTGTAAAATATAGAATATATCTTTAGTCAAGCTAGTGGTTTACCTCTTCAAAGTGCATATCAATATCCTTAATTTTATCACCTGTGAATTGCAAATATACATATTTAGTTAATCATTATATTTTGAAATTGTTGATTCTGAAAACTCTTAAGTAGAAAATGACGGATACATTAAAGTAGGGACCTTAATAAGAGGTAGAAATGAAATTAGAATAGCAACAGTAATTTCAATTGTACTTAAAACTAAAAGTACATGGTTTAAAAATGACCAGAAAATATGCATTTTATTTCATAGGATTTAATTGTTTTGAATTATAGTTTTAATTCAACTTGGCCCACTCTAAACCATTCATCTGTAATACAGCAGTATTTATTAAATGAGATTTTTATTTCATTAATTTACTAGTATTGCAAGCTAAGAAATTAATATTTTATATACTTTTGAAGGTTTTTGTACATCCGATGTCTTTATTTCCAAGAATGAGAAAGTTATTTTTTCCTATTTGCCTCTTTTAATTTTTCTGTTATCTCTTTAGTCAGTATATTTTATAAGAGAAGCTATATTAAAACTAAAGACAGGGCTGGAAATTTGGCTCAGTGGTTCTGGCACCTGCCTCATAAGTGCGAAGTCCCGAGTTTGATCCCTGATACCATAAAAAACAACAACAACAACAACAACAACAAAAACTAAACCCAATAATATCATCTACTTTTCTTTTATTTAATTTTGTTCCAGTGTCACCCAAAAGTTGCCAAAAATACATAATTAGTGTCTATGATGGAATGAAAAATCTATTTTTTATCATTTGGATTTTTTTCATAGATAATGAAGTATTCACGCACTTTAATATGGGATTATTTCTATTTAATCAAAATCTAAAGTAGCTTTGTAATTTAAAAAATTTCTGAAATATATTTTACATTTTGGAAGGCCAAAATAATATTTTTAAGTTCTACATGTCAGACTTCAAGTTGAAGTAGGGAAAATGTAGGCTTTGACACATTGAATTTTTACTAAAATTTTTGAGTGCCAAGTTTACAAGTTTTCAGTGCCTTTTTTTTCTGCTTTTCATAATTCTAGAATGTTAGGTATGTTCAAGGGCTTCAGGATTTTATGTTTCATATGAACATGTGAAAGGAGTGAAACTTTTACTTAGATTACTTTTTAATTTTTATAGGAATAGCATTGAAATTAAAAAGGCAGACACAATATTTAAGGGGAATATCTTGTTTAAATATTACTTATGGCCACAGGACAAATTTTGTTAATATAATTTGCTCATTGTATAATACTCATAAGAAGACTATATAGTATCCTTAAAAGACTGTAGAGCAGAGATTAAAAATTTGCAAGTATACTTAAAATTTAAGTGGTAGTCTCATATACTTTTGCTTTACCTTTTATATGATTTTATTTCATATGCATTGACATATCAGATTTTTAATAAGGGAAAAGAATTATCCATTTAGGTGTTTCCCTTGTGTAGAACTTTTAAATAAAACATACATTGCTAGATTTAGATGTACATAAAATTTGTGCTTTGAGATTATCTGCCATTGACTCAGCAGAAATTAGAGTATTTATTAAGATTTTATTTTTATAGTGCTTAATGAAAAGCTTCTTATAAAAATCATTTAGATATTCTGTAACCTTAGTTTAAATCCCAATTTTCATGTTAATTGGTTTTATAAGTAACTGCTATTTTATTGGATAGTTATGTGAGCTCAGCCTATTTTTTCAGTAATATGCATTTTATCTTTTTATGTTTTTGTTACCTAGGTTTTGCTGATAAGATTTAAAGTCTTTGTTGTTGTTGTTGTTGTTTTGAGATTTCATTTTGTTTATTTTGCTATGTAGTTCAGGCTGCCCTTGAACTCACAGTGTGGCATAGGCTTGCCTCAAACTCATGGTGATTCTCTTGCCTTGGCCAATGAGTGCTAGATTTATAAGCATGCACTACTACCATATACAACTTTAAAATATTGAAAGTAATTAATTTGGCTTAAAATGTTGGTAGTGATGGAGCATTATTTAATCTTTTCCCTAATTTTTTCCCTAATTATTTTAATTAAAGCTATGTAATTATTCTTTTCTACATATAAATTGAATTCTATACTTTTAATACATGTAACTGTGATCATGTAGTATATCTAACATTGTATACCATTTACCCATGAAACATTTCACTTTTAATAGCTGCATAATGACTCATCAAGTGAATATAATGGATAGGTGATTGACACATAACTAAATATTAGTGTCAGTAGTGCATTTGGGCTGAAAGAGTTGTTTCCTCTCTTTATATTTTACAGTGGATGATGTTGGGGAGAAATTAGAGCATATGGGGAACACACCATTAAAAATCAGCAGTGATGGTTCACAAGAAGATGTCAAAGAAGATGGTTTTGGTTCAGAAGTAATAAAAGTGTATATATTTAAAGCAGAGGCGGAAGATGATGTTGAAATAGGTACAAAGAAAATAATTTTATCTTATTTCTGTAATAGGAATTAGAATTCCTGTCTGGAGATTATTCTAAAATTGTCATCAAAGGACAGATTTTATAGCTTTTTGATGGTATATTTTGTAAAATGTATATAAATACAAGCAGGGATGGTTTAGATTCTTTTAAACATGAGTAGACTGTAATAGCTCACAATACTAAAGCAAATGAACTAGGAATTGGTTCACAGCATGAAATTATAATGAGTGTTTAACAGCATGGATTCTAGGGGCAGGCTGTTTGGATTTTAATCCTAGTTCTGGCATTTCACTGAGCAACCAGCAATCAGTTACATAACTGCTGTCTGCCTTTTTATCTTTATCCATAAATTGCTCCTAATGATAACTACCTAATAGAGGTATTATGATACATAAAAGACCTGACCTACATGGTACTTGGCATCTAAGTGTAGTGTAAGTGCTAGGAATTGTTACACTTCTCTGTTAATTGAAGAATTAAAGTATGATTTATATCAAAATTATTGTGACACCTTGAAATTTGTTTTAGGATTTTTAAAAACATTTTTCTAAAGTAAAATACTTCTTTTATATCCTTATTGATTTATGGAGTTATTCCATGACATTTTTTTTCTTTTATTGAGTTTATTGGTACATTTTAGGTATACAGTACAATTACATTCATTATTGGGATCTTGTACCTTTATATGACAGGTCTTGGTTCTCATTTTTTCCCCTCGTCCGTGCCCTCCCTTCACCCCCTCCTCCCCTCCCCATTTACAAACACTTTATTTCCGTTTTTTCATTTTCTCATATTTT